TCGATCACGTACCCGATCACCAGTCACATGGGTACCGCTACAAGTACATGGGGCATTAAGAAACACCGCGACAATAATATTAATGACAGAACCACATACTGTGTATTAACGAGTAATGGTTTTTTTTTCTTTTTTACAGTAATTCACGATAGGAAATCCTCAACCTTTACTGCATACTTCAAAGGCAACCTATGTCATACTATCATACGTCTATATATTGATATCAACACTACAACACACCAGCAACGCAACCAATCAAAAACACTTTTATAAATGACAATCAAATGTTATCATTATGATAATGATAAGGAAACCGAAAATATCATAGATTTTTTAGGACACACTGAAAATTGATGATAATTGAATTGATAAGTTTTTGATGTTGGTTATAATAAGTCATTTTGATTTAGACCAATTTGATTATCGAACACTTTTTTAGCTGTTCCAGAATTTATGAAAACGGTTGCAATAAATTGGTCTTATTAGGAACTGAGACAGGACTGAACATAATTCTAATAACGTATGAACCACCTTATATCCAAATTTCGCATCATTACGTATGTACGTACGTAACTTTTTTCATACACTGATCACATTTTAAATCTAAACGTAAACATCGAAATGCACTAATCAGAATTAGATTATTAAAAAGTAGTCAATAAGAATCCAGACTTGCCTAAATTGAAATTTGTCATCGCGATGATTCATTTATACAAATAAGTATACATTATCCGATAATTTATGATCATGATTGGTAGGGAGTCACTCGCTGAGTTTGTTTTTTTTTGAATATTGGAAAACATCGTACACATGAAAAAAATAACAGAAAGAAAGTTTTTCATGATCATAAGAGTTTGTCGGATAATGGTGGGTACTACTTGTCTAAAGTCTGCAAGCTTCAACACGTTATTGTACAAATTGTTGACATATGATTTAATTTATCCAATAAAATCACAATCAGTATGTGGTTATTCCGATCAAAATGTGTACTATTTTATAGTTTTTCTAAATATCTCTAAAGCATTATACTACAGGTCATTTTCTATCATTTTATATACTTTCTATATTCATACCCATTGAAAATAATAGAGTAGTGATTCGAAAACAGTGTTGTAGTTTACTATACAGATTTTGGAAATCTGTACTAAAAAAAAATTGATTACTCACCCTAGTATGTTGCGCATATACTGACGAAGTGATAATCACATGTAAATATAAAAATTGAGGTTATGCATTTAAATTGTATAAACATCGCTTCTTCCTTTTTCTTTCATGGATTTAATATTACTTTTAGACGTGAAGGACATTAACCAAGTCAGTTATTTACCAATTTGGCGTACTTAAAAATTGTGTATTTTAGAGACGAAAACAAATTGCTTACCTTAGAAAATTATTCAATGTTTTTTTTTGTACTGGCAAAATGTTATTCAGTTGATTTATAGCATCTTTATGCCCATTATTTGCTGCCTTTTGATACCAAGATATTGCCAACTCTAAATTCTTCATCACACCTATTCCCTCCTTATAACATCTCGCAAGGTTACATTGCCCAAGCGGAATATCATCATTAGCGGCCTTTTGATAATGCTCGAAGGCCTTTTTTTCACTTTTCTCCACTATAATTCCAAGTTCATAACAATTTCCTAAATTGTTACAGGCAGAAATACACCCCATTTCGTATGATTTTTTGAAATAGTCATATGCTATTTGCTTATCCTTTTTAACACTATTTCCTTTCATATAACAATAACCTAAAATATTGATAGATCTTGCACATTCTCTATTCGCATTTTTATGCCATTCAATAGCTTTTTTTAAACTTTTTTTGGTTCCATAGCCGTACATAAAACACTGTCCAAGGTAAAATTTTCCCATTGCATTATTTTCATGCGCTACCTTTTAAAACAACTTGAATGCTGCATTAGAATCTTCATCAGTACCAATTCCCATTAAATAAATAAAACCAAGAAGACATTGCAAATCTGAATTAAGATTCTGATTCTTGTCAAGACCAATAATATAAATAAAATAGTTTTTTGGAGTCCGATTATTGTTTTCAATAATATCTATTATCATTTTTGAAATTTGTGTAAATGTATTTCCACGGTTCGTTGAGTCATAAAAAACTTTAAGTAAATTGTTAAGTAAATTGTTATTTGTAACTGATTTAGTTATGCAGTAAGGTGAATCAATCGTATCAGATGTAAGATGCAGACCTTCATTTATTTGCTGAATTTGATTAGCTGTAATGTAATAAATAAAATATTTAATATTATAGACATATAAATAAGCCAAAAATAATATAGAATAAATACTTGCAATAATTTTCTGTCTTAATACATTTTGTTTTCTCGCTTTCAGAAATATAATTTATAATGAACTTAGATTCAACAGGCATTTTTGACATTTTAATAAGATCATTTAAAATTTTATATAGGGGAGGTCGTTGGTCCGGATCAGAAGACCAGCAATTTACGTAAAGGTTCGCATAACTTTGTGGTGTGTTTGGAATTATTTTCTCTCGAATGCCCTTAGCAATATAAGGTCCAATGTCATCCTTAGGAAAACTAGAGAACGGAGGAATGCCGCTTGTAAGTTCCCAAAACAATACACCTAGACTATAAATATCAGATTTTTTATCACGTTCAACTTTTTTCCCCAAATGAATAAAGCATTGCGGTTCAACGTATGCTGCCATTTCATGTGCATCTGAACTGGGAAAATCATTATCTAATTGTTTCGGTAATTTGAAATCAGCAATAAGGGCTCTATCATTATTTATAAGAATGTTTCTAGAATGCTGTTATATTAATGAAAAGGACTAAATTTAGCATATAGATAATCGAATAACCTGGGCCCGGATGTGTACAAGCAGTTTCTATTAATCAATACGTTAAATGCATACCAGACCCCGATGAACAATCTCGTTAATATGCAAATGATGTAAACCAAAAGTTATTTCTTTTGCTATTCGGCTTATGTTGGCCCAAGAAATTTTAAAAATTCCATTTTGTCGTTTTCCTTTTAAGTAGTCTTGTAGGTTTCCATTGTTGGCTAATTGTAGCACTATCACAATTTTATTCGTTTGTGGATCTACAATTTATTATATAAGCAATTTTAGACAATAAAACTTTCAAATTCAAATTTAAGTATATAGAATCTAGTTCTGCTTTACTTCACCAAAAATCATTCACCGACAGCTCGTTTAGCTGATATCATAGCGGGACAATTTACTAAAAGTATATACCTACAACTAATCAATTGTTAACCTTAAACTTATGTGACGTCGACTGAGTGAGCTGTCGATGAAATGATTGATAATGAAGTGAGCAGCACCAATGGAATCTTCTTAAACCTTTAGAGGCTCCATAAAATTTAATGATATTAGGGTGATCAAAGATTTTAAACTATAGAATTAACATTAGTTTTAGATATAAGAAATTCAATTCTACGTAATGAATAATACGTTACCATTCTAAGCGTTCGATCATCTAAATGCAGATTTACGTTCATGCATTTTAACGCATACTTCTTTCCCTGGAAGATGGCTGAAAATACACGTGTTGTTGTTCCGTGTCCAATTGTTTTGAAATTGCTAAATTTCAAATAATCATAGCCATTTATATCGTATCCTTTCAAAATCGGTAAAGTGTGTGTGAAATATCATCCAACAAAAATAGATGACGAGTAATGACAAGTATTTTTGCTTACCACAAGTATTAAGTTTCGAGAGGCTTTGGAAATCTAGTTGGTTATTCAAAGGTTTGACTTGAGGATGGTTTGATAAAAGTGCAGATGCATCTACAGATTGTAACGCCTCTGTTGCAAGAAATTGAGTTGGCCTGTCGCTTAATCCTTTCGATAATAATCGAAGTGTTTCAACTACTTCTTGGATATCTGGTCTTTTGTTAGGTTCTTCGTCCCAACAGCGTACATATAATTGAACATATGACTCTGGCGTGCCCGCTACTGGTATTTCTCTTCTACCTTGAAAGATTTGATATATTATTTCAGACCCACCAGTAAGGTGCTTGAAAGGTGGAAGGCCACTTGAAATTTCCCAGAAAAGAACTCCAAGACTATATATATCTGACTTCTCATTTCGCTCATATTTATTATCTTTAAGGTATTGTGGATCTGTATAAGCAGGTATCCCATGACCTGTGGGACTTGTGTTCATTGACTCTCCATCCGCCTGCTTGGACATACCAAAATCAGCTATCATCATCTCACCGTTATGAACTAAGATATTTTTAGAGTGCTGTAGAAAATAATTTTAAATTAATTATGAAAGTATTATTAATATTTGTCAAAAAAAAAATAAAAAATCTCACAAGGTCTCTGTGAATGATCCCATTATTATGTAAATATACGAGCCCTGTTGCAATATTTAATGATTTATTCAATTTATCGTCCCATGTTAGTTTAGTAAAATTATTTTTTAAATATTCTCGTAAATTGCCATCATTTGCGTACTGTAGAATTAAATAATAAATTTGTGTGTCAAGATCGTTAGCTACTCCGTAGAACTGATTTATATTAGAATGAGAATTTTTAGCAATCTTTGCTAGCAATTGAACCTAGTGAGTTAAAATAAACATGATTTAAAAAAAAAAGTCTCTTATTTATAATGTAATCTTATCACTTTTCGAAATGGTTGAAAAATATTAATATTTCAAAAAAAAAAAAAAAAATTTTTTTTGCGAATACTCGAATACTCGAATACTCGATCAGTTTAGAACATTGATCGGTTCTAGTATTCGAGCATTCGCAAAAAAAAAGGATTTTTTTTGTAAATATTGCTATTTTCAACCATTTCGAAAACAGTGATAATATTAAACTAACCTCTCTAGCAAATTTCTTGACCAGGTTTTCATTTGAATTCTGTTTAATTTTTAGACTCTTTAAGGCAACTGTCGAACTGCAAGCTTTCCACTCGGCCTTCTCAACCCAGCCGTATCCACCTTCACCAATTTTTTTACTATTGCTAAATTCATTATAATTATAAAAATTGATTTTGTATTCTTCGATTATTTTATCAATAATCAAATAATCATTATCAGATCCACCTTAGTTATAGTAAAATAAACAAAATAGAATATTTATATTAGCAATTGTCTAGTGAATGCCCACATATAAAGAATTGTAAACAAACTAACGATAGTTTTTTTCCATTTCAAATTTAACATTATTAGTAATGAATTCTATAAAAGTTTCTGAAGATAATCTTTCAAGCTTAGTTGAAATTTCATCCAGTGTCGGACGTTGGGAAGGATCTGAAGACCAACACTTCTCATAAAGACTAACATAATCTGAGGGTGTGTTGACAATAATTTTCTCTCTCTTATTTTGTAAAATTTCTAGAATAATTTTTATCTGCGAAATGTTATTAAATGGAGGAACTCCACTTGTGAGCTCCCAAAATAACATTCCTAAACTATAAATGTCATTTTCTTTATTGAAATTAGTATTTTTTCCTTGTAGAAGGCACTGCGGGTCAGTATACGCTGAAATGGCCGTTATATTTGAACTTGAAGTGGTCGAATCATTTAACTCTTTTGCGACCCCAAAATCTGAAATTAGAGCCTTGCCATTATTTATTAGAATATTTTTAGAATGCTAATGGGATTTATAATAAATTAGAATCGCGCGTAATTGATTAAAATTATAATGATATTATTAATTAAACCTACTAGATCTCGATAAATGATATCATTATTGTGCAAGAATCTTAATCCAAAGGTAATTTCTTTTGCTATTCCTATAAGTTCAGTCCAAGAAATTTTATAAATACCCTTATTATTTTGCTTACTTTTTAAAAAATTTCGCAGATTTCCATTATTGGCAAATTGTAATATTAACATAATATTATTCGTTACTGGATCTAAAAATTTAAAGTTTCACATATATTAAAAAGGCATAAAAATCTATATTAAGCAAAGTTGTACGATATGTCGCACAAAATACCATCTAAACAATGGTAATGTAATATAGTATTGTCACTTGCAACGGGTGTGCAATATTTTATAGCTGATAATCAAATTATGATTAGATTTTTGATGGAAGAAGACCGCATTTACAAGATTGCAATTAAATAAAATATATAATGCATACCTCGAGCCAAAAAATTTGTTATCCGTTGAATTTTGTGCGATTACATAGAGCGTACTACAAATTACACACGTACGTACCTATTGAGGTCCCATAAAATTTAACAATATTGGGGTGATTGTTAACTTTACTAAAAAGCTTAAGCTATATTTCAACATTAAATTTGTTAGTTTTGTTGTCAAAATATAGGATGTTTATATATCATCGTATATTAAATTTCGAAGTCAAAATGTTCCGAAATATTCCAGAAAGAGTTTTACCGAGGCAGCCACTTAAAGTTCGAGCCGATGATCGATGTCACTCGTTGTCAGATAACCGAGATCTCTTGTCATCTTAGTGTTGTAGAAAATTAGATACTTTTAAACAACTTTGATCAAGAATTGTTCCTATATACTCGTTCGTTTGCGTTAGTCGCGTAACAAAATAAATAATGCTGCGGCAGTGATGTCGATCATCAATCCGAACTTTGAGCCCTGATGAACTCGAGAAAGAATTCTGCTACAGTATATAATGTAGTACAGTGCCTAGGGATTGACTCGATTTAAAAATCAAATATAATCATGTTAAACTATCAGTTAATTCCTATATCGTCCTTTTTTTGTGTACGTATTTCCACTATACATGTACCTATTTTATTAGGTGTTGAGTGTAAATACTGAATTATCCATATTTAATCTTTAACATTAAGGACAATGCATAAAAGGGTTAATTTTTAAAATAAGTACACGACAGCTTAAATTACGTAGATAGAAGGGGGATAAATCAGTCTATCCTAAGTAATTGGGGTATAAACGAAAGTTTACCGGCAGCCGGTACGTCAATTATTCTTCAGTAAATTACTCAGGATATTATTATTATTAATTCTTTAACTTTAAAAATTTATACTTCAACAACTATAAATGTTAGAACAATGGTTTTAGATTCATTTTAATTTTCCAAAATAAAGAATTTTTTAAAAATAAGTTTATGTCCGATTGATAATGCCAATTTTCTATAAATTGCTAATTTGCGTTCAATTTTAATTTACCGACAGAATATTATCTCTTTAACCAAAGCAGCTACTGTAACACCAACTTCAATCTCGATTTTTCGCTGAGACGAATGCAGCAAGCCTAAAATCTGGTTACAGAGAAATCTATTGCTTAAGTTAATGTTACACGTGTAAATTAATTAAACCATTCTTTTACATATGTGTGACATTGACATTTAACAATCGACTTCTCCTGCAACCACCGATCCAATTTTAATGATTTTTGGCATGTTGAATTCGTCTCAGAGGAGAATCGAAATCTGGAACCAGTGTTACACCAGCTGCTTTTGGTTGAAGAGATAATATCCTATCAGTAAGGTAAAGTTGAACATAAATTAGTAATTTGCAGAAAATTGGCATTATCAATTGGACTTAAAAAATTTTCTGGGTTTTAGGATATTAAGATGAATGTGAATCATTGTTCTAGCATTTATAATTGCTGAGATATAAATTTTTATGGTTAAAGAATTAGGCGATGCAAACTTTTGATCGCCACTGTATCTAACTGCACTCTGGAGATGGACATGAACATGGACATGGACTGTCCATGACATAAAGGGATGTGGAGTGTCCAATGTCCATGCCCTTGGACCGTCTGTCCATGGACATGGACTGTCTAGGTCCACATGCCCATGTCCATTAACAGTTGTGCGGAACAACACTGACTGCACTCTCAAAGACCCAGGCACTATATAAACAGAACACAATTAACTATATATTATAATTACCTCGCGAACAAATTTCTTAAATGTTTGTGCGGTTAAGCAAAGATTATTGTTTAAACATTTCAGTGCATATTTTTTCCCTTGAAAAATAGCAGAATATACAATTGCTGATCTACTCTTTCCAACAATGTCGAGAACATTAAATTGAGAATGATCGTATTTTGTTACACCGTATTGGTTCAATTTCGTTACTAGTTGTTCTGAATAGTTTTGTACTAATGACAAGGCAATCAGTAATTGAATGAATTAAAATTCTGTTTGTTACTAGAAAGAGCTGCTCTAAATCTAAAATTACAATATGAAACCTCCAGAACTCTGATATTTTGTTTTTATTACAGAGTAAGCTACGATTAGAATTATAGGATCCGTTATTAGTATAAAACTTACTTCTTTTATCATTTTCGATATCTCTATATTTCTCTCCCATCTAGGCCTTCAATTTTTAATAATCTGGCGCTTTGCTTTTTTTGCCTTAATTATATTTAAACTGGTTTGTTGCGTAACTTGAGTGCAACTATGGCTTAAATTGCGAGGGATGCAACCCCCAAAAAGTCAATAGTTTGACACTAAAAAATGGAAAGATTATCGGGATTCTATATGTCCCGTCATTTTATTAGTATCACAAAAGGGGTTATCGACAGCCATTTAATCTGCATCACATAGGGTTAGAACATAAGTGTAAATAATTTGTAAATTATTGATACGATATATACATTGTAAGTGGAAGCGGAATTTAAGTGGATTTGGAATTTTTATATAAAAACACCATTTTAGGGATAGATATTTTTTTTAATATGTATACCCGTACCCTTAACTAGTAAATTCCGAATCCACTTAAATTCCGTTCCTACTTGCGACATATGTTATATATATATTTTTTTTTTTTGGAAATGAAATTAAAAGTCGGGTTGTCGGGCTATTTTTGAAATTTAAGGTCCAAAAAGCTAACTTTTTATAGCTTAATGCACTTTTAAGATTTGTTTAAAAAAAGTTTTTAATTGACAAAAGTTCAATAAATTATCTATAAACTAATATAAAGTAAACTATATGAAAACCGATAAGGAACTATTACGGTACAGGCACAAGTGTCAAATATTATTAAGGCACACAAAGTGCCAAGCACTATTAAAGTAATGAGCTCGGCGAACGACGAAACTTAGTCATTGACGAATGACGGGTTTTCGTCATTGAAGAGCAGTTTCTAAATGACGAAAGACGAAACCTAAGACGATTGATAAGCATAAGACTATTATTCTTTTCTTTCATAATGGAAATGGACTAGTATATACGAAGTTGATTATTTGCATTATCATATTCACCCCTTTTCTATTTATTATTATTATTATTATTTATTATTTAACATTACACAATGTTACTTAATGAATGCATTTATCACTCGAAAGTTTTCGAGGGTGAACTTTATAACAAAATAATATTAATTTTGAAGATTCAGCATATTCAAAAGTCGTTATAAATAAGCTCGTTGGAAGAGGGTCAACCTTATTTTGGGTCAAATTGATTGTCAAGAGTTTAGTCAACGAATACATGACGAAATCATTTGTCAAGACGAATATATGAAGAAACCATTTCGTCATTACAAAATCGTTTCGTCAGATTAAAGGCACAAAATATAAATTGGCACAAAAATGCGATTTGTGACAAACCATATGTGGCTGTGTAACGTTTGTTATGTGTGGTATGTAACGTGTCATTAATTTTGCTGTTGTGTCATGCAGTGATCGACATAAAAATTTCCTAGAATAGGAAATTTATATATACATAGCGAAAAGGGTAAAAAAAAAAAAACAAAAAAAAATTGCGGACCGTTTAAGATAACTTATGAATTGTGGTAAAAAGCATCTTTAGATATTTATATGGTTGACCCGAATATGTTCAAACTTCTGCTTTTTTTGACTTAGTCTTGTTTTTTTTATGCCCGGATTTTTTGCCGGTATGATAAATTGATAATCACTGATCGTCAAAGGTAGTAGCGAAGGACCATAGAGAAAGACTGCGGCAATCGTGAGAAAAAAATATTATTATTATCACGAGAAAATTTTGTAACATGAACGTAGCTGCGTGACGTCATCGCGCAAAACTAGGAACGGGAAAGTATCTAGATATTAATTGTCGCAGGTCATAATTAAAATGAAATAAATGTTTGTATTTAACCACCTAAAACCCACTTATACTTGTTTATTATAAATTCTAACCTAAAACTAACCTCTATCCATAACCCCTAACCCTAAAAAATGCACACCAAAATTTTTTTATTTTTTGGTAGATTTTCTATTTTTTATATTGTAAATATTCATTTTAATCTGATTTCATTTTAATCTGCCACATTAATTGATTTAAAATTTCAAATTAATCTTATTCTGTGATTTTGCGATATTTAATCTAACATATTAAATTTAGATCATGTACTCAATTAGGCTGTTAAACAGTTCGACTAAAACCCGGTCTTGCGCTCTGTCTTAGGACTGGGCCAGTCTGGTCTTTTATAGACCGACCAAAAAGACTATCGGCCTAAAATTATCGTAACAAACATATATAACCTAATTTTTATGAGCACTATTATATATGCTGGTGAAATGTGGTGAAATAATTTCACCCTATTGGTGAAATTGGTGAAATTAATTTCACCAGCATCTATAAGCACTATTATAATATACTGTACAAGTGTAAGTAGGGCATTCAACTTGAGTTCAGATAAGACTAAAATTTATACTCAATAATTTGTATATAAATTTTCAGAAAATCAAGTTATAGGAATCATAAATCAGCACGAATAAGAAATTAATAATACCGTTTAGCACTGCATACAGTACCCGGGTCTTATTCAAGAACCTCATTTTTAAAATTGAATAGTATCGGGTGCTATTCATGAATCCAGCAATTTCATTGGTGGCGAAGATACTTAATGTGGTAGGATGTTATTCGAGGAGGATGATTTATGCAGTGTTATATGGTAGATACATTGATTATTCAAATATTTCGATTAATAAATAATATTGACTAAATCGACTTGAATAAAAGATTGTCTATCGGCCAAATCAGTACGGACAATAAACTAATAAAGCTAATAAGAAGTGCATACATTGTTTTCGCATATCTGCGGATTTGCGTAATTGGACTAGAGTTGGACTCGAAACGAAACCTACCTGAAACTAGTTTCGGAAAGGTACTAATCCGAAACTAGTTTCGGATTTTTAGAAAAAAAACCGAAACCCCGAAACCCGA